GGTCCCTGAAGCGAAGGTGATACAGGGAGACTGGCTGCTTCCTGTGGGGAGAATAGGGTGCCCGGGGAAAGGGAGGACCCTGAAGTACATGTGGAGGAAACAACACACTCCGCCCCGGAAGGGGACACAGAGAGACTGGAGTGGGCACTGTCGGAGGGCAGTGTCCTGAAGAGGATGCTGTGGACAGGAGGAACACAGGGAGACACTACCTAGAGGGGGGCACCCAGCGAGGCAGGCGAGCTAATTCCCGGGACTGCTGCCTGGAGGCGCCAGGGTGGTAGGTCAGACCCATGAAAAGGTTCGTGAGCTTTTGTGGGTAAAACCCAATCATCTGAGGAAGTATATGAAAGCTCATGATATTATATATATTTTTTGTTAGTCTCTGAGGTGCCACAGGACAACTTGTTGTCTTCACATATAGACAGTGGCTCTTCAGCATGCTTGTGATTAAGAACTTGGTCTTATAAGGCGCGTCTACACAGCAGGGGTAACCTTAAAATAATCTATTCAAATTGAGCTATGCCAATTGTGTAGCTTATTTTGAAATAGCTCATTTCAAAATTGGGGGCATCTACCCCACACTTATTTTGAAATAGAGCACTCTTCCTCCGACTTTCCTTACTCATACAATGAGGGTTACAAGAGTCAGAGTAAGAAGTCCTCCAACTTGACAAGCATTTCAACATTATTTCAAAATAACTGCCTGCTGTGTACACATGGACAAAGTTATTTTGAAATAATGCTAGTTATTTTGAAATAATGTTGCTGTGTAGACATATCCGTAGTCATGACAGTGAACAGGAATTTCATATTTACCATCACTGGATGTAGTACTGGATGCTATAGTTGTAGTACTGAGTTATAAAGTGATTACATCAGTTGCTCAAAAAGTAGTTATTTATTCGAAAGGATTAAACAGACTACCTGTGGGTCATTGCTGATTTAGCTATAGTGCTCTTGACGGACAAGAATGGCATAAGGTGCAGAAAGTGCAAGAGTGTTCTGCAGCATATGGTATTTCATGAAATTAGTTCAGATGGAGAAGCCAAGTTGGAGGATAGGGTGTCTTGATTTATGTCTTGTTGCAAAGGCCAAGAAATTGGCAGATAAATGTTCTTGGAGTGGTAGGGTCTGTCTCTGAAATAAGTCTGAAAATATGGCTTTTTCCTCCTCGCCCTCTTTTATTGTTTTGCCAGACCCTCTCCCCCACAAAAAAACCCCAACCTGAACACAAGGATTTTGCCTCTCCATATATTAGAATTAACGTGTGTTTTTAACAGCTTCTTTATGAATCCTCCTAAATACTCTTCAGATGAGGCATATCCAATAAAGATTAGGTTAGACCTCATATGTTATTCGCTGGATATGGCCAGCTGGAATAGCATCTTGGATGGAATATCTCCAAGATGCTGCAGAGAACGGTGCTGGCAATTAAAAAGGTGGCATTCTTTTCTCCTCCGTGAATGAGAGTCAAATCAATATCCCAAGAGGACATTGTATGAGAGCTGGGTGAAATTTTTGGCAAAATCTTTTTTGGAGAATAAAATGCAGATTTGGCAATGCAATTATTGTGAATTTGTGTTGGTTTTGCCAAAGTGCTTGTGGAAAAAGGGAGGGAGTCCCTCCCTCCCTTAAGGCAAAGTGCCACAATATGACATTTTTATTTTGAATTTTTCTTCAATTTTTTCTATTGAAACATTTCAGATCAAATACAACCTTTCATATTTTTCTGATTCTAAGTTCATCTGAAATTAAAAAAATATTAATTCACTTTGTCCCTTGATTTATTTTTTTTACAATTGCCAGTGAACCAAAACGTTTGTTGGTCACAGTAATCTATATTGCCCGGCTGCAGATGATGTCTTTATGATGAGATGTAACAACAAAATCATACTCACGAATGATCCTAAAGCTCTTTTCAAGAGAATAAGGGTTTCAGTTAACATGGACTCAGAGGCTACATTGACACTGCAATGCTATTTCAGAATATCAGAATATTCTAAAATACCTATTCCATGTCTTCACAGCAAGCCTGTTATTTTGAAATATAACGGAATTGCTATTCTGACATCCCTATAAATCTAATTTCATGAGGAACTCAAATTGCGTGGCTTATTTCGAGCTATGGTGCAGTGTAGATGCACACATAGTTGTGAAAGGCAGGATAGCTTATACCTATCAGCAAGATGTTTAATTATCTTTATTGCGTGCCATTAGTCAATGGCAGCTTTTAACTGTTTTCTGTGAGTATAGAATTGGACTTCTACGTCTCATTCTGAAGCTCGGATTTTGCTGGCAGGGGAAGTGAAGATACATATGTACTCAGGGCTCAGTGCTGCATTTGGTTACATGGATGTACTCTTCCTGAGCTGAGCAGGGCACTACAGAGCAGTAGTTGCCCAGCACTGGGAAAACTTGTTAGGCGGGCAAGTCTAGATGATTAATGTCTCCTTTTGGCCTTAAAACCAGTAAATCTCTGAATTAAGAGTTGTAAATTATTATTGTTGTAAATGTTGGCATTTTTTCCCATGGATAAATAGCTTCATTATCCAGAGTAATTCCACCAAAGTCTATGACACTACTTTGGCTTAACATTGGGTAAACAGGGTTGTCAATTTTGGTTGGACACATTCAGGGAGATTTAATCACATGGCACAATCTTTAATTAAAAATTATCTTTAATTCCTAGAGATTCCAGGTCGGTGTTGGAGGGCTGTCAACCATATGGGTAAATGAGAGCAGAAGCTGGTCCATTATTTGTAGTCTCACAATGTGATCTGAGATTTGCGTGAGGCCCTTTATTAAATGAACAAATGATAGTGATGCAAAATAAACCAAAGCCAGGTTGACATTTGGGGCCTGTTTTGTTTGACAGGCCCCTTACTTTTGTATTGCAGAGTAGTTCTGACCTCCCCTCCCCCATGCTCCATCACATACTGTGAATACCCCACCTTAAAACTCTTGAGCTTTGATAAACAGATGGATAACATAATTCCACATGGCATCCTTAACTTGGTGCCAGTTTATGTGGGCTAATTTGCACCCCAGAATAACTAATAAAAATGCCTCTTAGGTTTGCAGAGGAAGAATTAACCCAAGGCATCTTGGCCTAAAAGCATGCAGCCTAGGTTTGGAGTCAAATGATTTTTTAAAATATATGGATAATGTTTAACGGTCATAGGCACTAGCGAGACTCCGAGAGGGTTTGCTGCAGCTGCAAGTCATCAGCATTCAAAATCTTTTTTTTTTTTGACTGATGTGATATAACATTATTTTGTTTTCTTTTGTATTTGGTTATTGGATTCAAAAAACTGTCAACGGACTGCTAAAATATTTGCCAGATGTAGTTATGGGGTTGGTTACACTATGTGGGGTGTGGTTTAAATAAATGCTATACAGATTGTTGGCCTAATCCAGGAGGCTAAAAAAATGACCTTTCTGCTGCCTTATCTTACTATACTCTGCTTACCATGCCCTGTTCGCTATTTCTTATTTTATCCATTCTTTTCCTCATCTCTCCTCCCTTTGACCAGTTTTTCTCCTCCGAATCCTATCTCTACCTTTCCTCCCACCATATCACCAACCCCTTTTCATTAATCGTAGCTCTACCCCTATCTTCCCCACTCCCTATACTATCACTGGCAATTCTCATCACCCCTACTAGGAAAACCCAGGAGCATGCTAAAGGGGAAGATTTCTCAATGAGCTTTTTTCCCCCACTGATATTTATCTGCATCAGATGCAGAGGGGATTCAGTGCTCCCCACAAAACAGGCACATTGCATGGATCTCCCAGCATCAGGAGATCAATATGAGGCT